GAGTTCCATTCCTGGCCCAGAGGTGACCCACATGGCGCGGCAGACCTCTCCTGACCTGCCCGCTGCTCCCCTCAGCATGTACTTCATCAGTCGGCCTGTTCTACTCCCCACTCAGTCTCTGGTGAATCCTCTCACCGCACCTGTGCCTCTAGCCTGTACTTGTACCCCAGTTCTGTATACATAAATAAATATATCTTAAAAAAAAAATTCCTGCCCTCCCTGGTGGTGCAACGGGTTTAGATGCAGCACTGCAAGCTGGCCACAACCGCTTCAGTGCAGAGTTCGATCCCCACCCCGGAGGTGACCACATGGCGTGGTAGACCTCTCCTGACCCGCCCACTGCTCCTCTCAGCAGTGTACTTCATCGATCTGCCTGTTCTGCACCCCACTCTGTCTCTGGTGAAGCCTCTCACTGTTCCTGCACCTCTGGCTTGTACTCCAGTTCTGTATGCACAAATAAATAAATCTAAAAAAAAAAAAATGTCCACACTTGCGTACCATGGCAGGTGGTACTTCTATATTTCCAGAAGCGGTTATTCTAGTCTGTATTTGTGGAATACAAATGGGTCCATACATGACAACCCTCCCTGCAAGTCCTCTGGTTAATTACAGAGGTAAATGTAGACATAGATCCATCTAGGGAGGTATCCGTCTACCGTCTGCACCGAAGCACCTGCCAGAATTTTTAAAGCCACCCACGGACCTCATTTACACGCATCGTATGTTTCCCTTGGTGTCTGAAGTCCTCTCGATAAATTGTGCTACAGGAGCAGGTCAGTGCCTGTATTTAAGGGTCAGCCTGGCTCCTTGCTATCACCCACTGCGCCGCACTAGCCTGGCCTCTTTGTTACTCAAGAAATATCACCCTGAAACATTTCAAGAGAAAACCAAACAAAGGTTTTCAGTTAAATGTAGAGAAATAGCAAGAGAAAGAACCAAAAATCTTTAGTTTAGAGCTCAGAGCACAAGGCTCTGAGAGGAAGTTCCAGCGACCCACATGGGGAAGCTGAAGGCAAGGTGGCGGCCCAGCAACCTCGGCTTGTTTGTTCCCCCTTACAAAGAAATAAAACACCTTCCTCTAGTTACGTGCTTCAGTCGTAGCGCAAGCATAGTTTCTCTAATCACGGACATTGTTTTAAAAGGAAGCAAAACCCCAGTGAGTTTTTGTCTTACCAATCTCTCCTTAATCAGCTGAGCTACCTTCTTCTGTGATTGAGCTAACTTCTCTCTGGGGAGAGACATAGAGTTGATGGCCTTCCCCGTGACTGCAGCGTCGTCTTCACTCTCTCCAGACCCACTCGTGGGATAAAACTCATCTCTTTGCTCATGGGCTGGGATCTTGGATTGCCGGGATCTGGAAGTACCAGAGAGAGACGGGCAGTCTCTCATTGTGCATTTCTGACATATCCCAAAACAAAGTAACACTAAAAACCACAGCCATCCCAACTGTGTTCTTGAAATGTGATTTTAAAAATAAACTCAAAGTAAAGCTGGATGGCTCACTCAGCCATCCCTAAAGCCCAGCCTCAGGACAGCAATGTGGTGGTTCAATTAGACAGATCTGGTGGGCTGGCACGTGTGTCAGAGCGCAGATTGCTGCACTAACCGTACGACCCTGGCAAACTATTCCTTAATTTGCTTCTCTGCAAAATGAGGTTGATCTGAATGCCTATCTGTGAGTTACAGAATTAAATGAAATAATGCCATAAATCACTTAGCACAGCACCTTGTATTCACTAATGTCCTTTTCATGTTAGCTAGAATTTTTGGTAGCTCCATGACTTAGTGTCTACATTTATAAAATGAGGATGTTGAATTGAAAGATCTCAATGATCCTTTATGTTCTAAAACTCTGACTTAAGCCATGAAAGAAAGCTGATAACAATGAAATACTAGCAAGGGAACGAATGATGTCAAAGTAAATTTTGAATGTTCTCTTTCATACTTCTTAGAAGTTTCAGCATATTGTGCTCAGCTGACTAAGGTGGAAGGAAGGTCACCCATGAGAGCTGCATGCAGACTCAGAAGAGAAATGGCCTTGTCTGTTGTGTTAGGAATAAGAGGGATGAGAAAGAGCTGCCTGGTTGAAAATCTCCCCCTTTCCTTGGCCTCCTCCCCACATAATATAGATCTTTGACTTCGGTGCTCAATCTAAGTATGATTGGGTAACTGAAATGTAAAGATAAAAGTCAAGAGGGTTAATCTAATAACATTACCAAAAAAATTAACAAGGTGACCCAGAAGGAATAGCATTCTGAAATCTAACAATCAACAAGAGATTTAATTGCTTATAACTAGGCCCCCCAAAGCAATCACCTTTGTATGCATAAAGTTTTTAAAAGTTTCAACAGCAACAAAGTTATTTAAAATAAAACATATATTTCCTTTCATTGATAAGTTAAAAGGGAAATTCAGAAAATGAATGTGTCAACTGGAATTTTTTATACCAGGTTTACAAAAGGACATATTAACTTCCATCCAGAGTCCTGTTCCGAGTAACTTATCCAACGGCATGTGGGTAAACCAGGTCATGTGGACAAGGGAGGAACATTCCTTCAGGCCAAGTCTCAGCAGGATTACCACCCACTACCCCAAGTGTGCTTTCAGAAGACAAGCAGACTCAATGAACAGCCAGAGAAGGTGGTGATGTGGGTGGTTAGAAGACAAGCACTAGACTTGCCTCTTCTCTGCCTGGTGAATCCTGTGCTCCTTCATCAAGACTCAAGTCAGATGTCACCTCTACTAGAAGTTTCTTACAGGAGGAGCATTACAGATACCCTCTCCAAATTGTTTGCAAAAATTCCCAAATGGATTCTGCTAAATAAAATAAGTCAGAAGGAAAAAGACAAATGCCAAATGGTGTCATTTATTCATGGCCTCTAGAGAAACCAAAGAGTCAGATAAAGCCAAACTAGGAACTAAGCCTAGAAAGCTGATTGTAGAAATGAGACTACCAAGGGAGACGGGAGGGTGGGTGGATGTTCAGGTGGTGGCGTGGGTGTGGTAACAACACTTAAGGGCGGAGCTATGTCAAAGCCTATAAAAAAAAATGTATCCCCTACATCTACTACAGTGCAAATTATATTGGGTTTCCTAAAATTATTTTCTTTGTTTTGTTTCTGAGTTGTCATTGCCTTCCACAGTGAATAAACTCCACTAGGGCTGGGGCTGGGTTTCCTTCATTTCTAAAACCCTGGCACCTGACTGCTGGCTGACAGAGAAAACTAATAATGGCCTACTAACTTAACAAAAGACTAAAGGAAAAAAAGTACAAGGTCTTAAGGATGTTTGACAATTACTGGAGATAGAGGAAAGCTATGAAAAGAGCTCAAAAACTAACAGAAAGAAAATTTAGTCTCTTCATATAAGATTTTGTTTAGGCTGCATATTTCATACCTGGGGCTGAAGTTATATCTTTTGGGGTCACCAAAGAGATTGCCAATCATGGATATTGAAAATATATATCCTAAGTATTTCAAATTCAGCCGTAAGTAAATTAGGCTGAGATCAAAGGCAGCAAGTTTGAACAGCTCTCCTCAAAAGGAGAAACACAGATGCCTTAACAAATTAGAGTGCAAAACCCTGAATTAGCTTTGAACATCTTGTGAAAGATAAGAAAGTCAGCTAGAGAATCTACACCAGCCAGTGCTCTCAAAGGATAGTCAGAATAGAGAGAACAGGAAGTTTGAATGAAATGTCTGCCTTGTCAGGCTTATAACTGAGCCTACATGTTGCCAATAAGAGTATGAATTCTGACTAGTAATATTACCTGTGAATTATTTGATGATTTCCAAGATAAACGACTGTGAATTCTACATTTTTTCACTTCAACTTATAGAGTTATGTAACTCAACCTCCAGATATCTTATGAGGCAGACTTTCACAATTCAACATAGTAGCCACTACACTTAATATGGTCATTAAGTACAGGATATGTGGCTAATCTGAACTGAGGTGTGCTCTTGTATAAAGTACACACCAAATTTCAAAGACTTAGCATGAAGAAAAAAATACAGAAATCATATAAATTATTTTATATAATATTTAGGGTATATGAAAATAATATAGTATTACAAATAAATATACCTTTAAAAAATATGGCTACTAGAAAATTTAAGAGGATACATGTAGCTCACATTGTGGCCTGCATTATATGCCTATTGGATAGCATGGGTATGTAGAGCAAAGGTCTTGACTAATGTCTCCCCGCCAGGAGACATTTGGCAACATGTGGAGATGTTTTGGCCTTCCATAATGCTACTGGCATCTACTGAGTAGAGAGCAGGATGCTGCTCAGTTTCCTACAATGGAGAGGACAGCCCATCACCAACAGAGAATTGCCCAGAACGCAATATGCCAATAGTGAAAAACCCTGAAATAGATGAATGGTTAAAGAATGGACTCAAGTCAGTTTGCACATGCTTCCTAGCTGAGCGACTTTGGGCAAACCGCCTAGCCTCTTCTTGATTCATAAGTCTATCTATCACTATAAAACGGGGTGATGACAGGATTATTGAAGAATCTGTGCAAAGTACTTGAACAGTGCCTGGCACATAGTATTTGCTTAGCATTAGATATCACAATAAATTTTATTTATGTATTGTCTATTACATAAAACTTAATTTTAATTTACTTATTAACATCTTTAACTTTTAAATTCAGACATTGAGTCCAGATCATAATTGATCGATCTTTATAAAAACTTAAAATGTCCCTCAAGAAAAAAAGAATTATTTCATATCTTGCTTCCTATCTTGCACCACAGAAACTCAACCTTCTCTTGGTATGTGTACAAAGCTTCTCACTCAGGTTTCCTTTAAGTGAGAGTTCCCAAGACCTCTGGCCAGAGAGTGGAGGTGCTGTCAAGGTTCTCTGCTACTTACAGATGGAAGCAGAAGTCCCAGTCCCTGTCATTGCTCACAGTTGGGATGTAGATGGGGCTGGTTCGAATCATCTTTGTACCAAGAATCACATGTGAGATCAGCTGTGTAAGAAAAAGCTTAGAAATTTGTTCTATTTTCCCTCTATTGCATGCTATTAACGTCACACTGAAACTACCCAAATAAATAACTGATCCTAAATCCACAAGTAGACATTGAAAACTATGGAGACCCTTGAACATTTGACACATTAAATGTTCTTTAACTTCTTTTCCACATTTTCTCCAACGCTCCTCCATCATTTTTTTTAAGTAACTTTTTCTTTTAAATTTTATTTATTCACGCTTATAGAACTGGGGTACAGGCCAGAGGTGTGGTGGGTAAGAGGGATTCGCCAGAGACAGAGTGGGGAGCAGAACACGCAGAATGGCAAAGTACAAAGCTGAGGGGAGCAGCGGGCGGGTCAGAAGAGGTCTGCCACACCATGTGGGTCAGCTCCCTGGCTGGGGATTGAACTCATGCTGCGGTGACTTGGGAGAGCTTGTTAATGAGGTGCTTTAACCTGATGCGCCACCAGGGAGAACCCACCTTTTTTTTTTTTTAAAGCCCAAATTTACAGCTCCTTAATCTTCAAAATCATGGTCCACTCAAGTCAGATAACTGTTTTTGGAAGAAGAGCAAGATGGACCCAAATAAAGCAACCAGCTCTCAGTGAGAGCCATCCTACGATTTTACAGGTGGCTCTGTAACGGGGTGGCCAGGGAACCTGGAACCTGGGGACCCGGGAACCTCCCCGTTCCTGACGGCCACCCAGTTACAGCTCCAGTGAAGCTGGAGCTGGAACACACGTGTTTGCTATCTTAGCTGTTGAGGGAAATGGTTCAAACCCACGACAATAAAAAAAAAAAGTTTGTATTTGTGATTCAACCCGCTTAGGCATCCCTATCATTTAAATCAAATCTCAAAAAGAACTTTTAACACTCAACAGGTTGCTCCTGGTTTTCGCCCTGCAGAACAGCACTCATTCCCACCTGAGTCCGCAGCTTAACTCAACTCCAGGTCACTCACGGCCCCAAACCCAGGTGTCCCTGGCTAGTCTCAAAATCTGTCCCAAGGAGAGGGGCTTTAACTTCTCAAGCTCCCCAATTCTATTACTAAGAATTCCCACACGGCCGTGGAAAATTTCACGAACTTTGACCCCTCCCTCAAGCATAAATCTCCGCCTACTTCTCTGCAGTCCATTAGCCGCCAATTGAAGACTGACGCCACACCTGGCCTCCCCCCAAGAAGCCACCGCCCACTCCCGGCGGGCGGCGCCCCAACCCCGGCGACCCGGCGGCAGCGCGCGTACCTGGCGGGGAGCAGAGAAACCACGCCCCGGAACCTGCCTACCGGCTCTCGCGGCCGGGCTGCTCGGCTTCCTCAGGCGGCGTCAGCCTCGCGGTCTCGGCGGAGCTCGATCAGGGCGCCGCAAGGGTGGCTTGCGGAAGCGAGACGCTCTGCGAGGTGTGCCTTTCGCGCGCGCAGGCCTGGCTTCCCTGACAAGATAAAGGAGTTGCCATGGGGACAGAACGCGGCCGTCAGAGGGGGAGCGCGGATGCCTGCAACCATAGCAACGCCGGCACTTCCGGTCCGAGCTGCCCGAGCGCTCTCGGCCTTGGGGGCTCCGCTGGCAGGGCGCGGGCGGCTCGGCTGGCCCCAGGCTGGCTTCTGCTGCGGCTGGATCGTCCACTTTGCTTTTCTTCCTTCCCTCTTGGACGTGAAGATACACGAAGAGGACTTACATCTCATGGAAAAGTGAAAAGGAGCGTCGAGCACCGAGCCCCTATTGACTTAAGGCAGTGATGGGCCAGCTGTACTCGCCCCGAAGTGCCCCGACTGTCCAGGACTCAGGAGAGGCGTCTACGAAACTATTAACGGTGGCAACGCCGCCTGGGTTGTCTCTCCCAATAAGATTTGAGCTACTGGGTTAGGAAAACGGGGTGCAGGAAATGGGGAGCGTAAGCAACGGATCACAAGTTCCCCGAAGGGTTAGCAGTTAAGAGAATAGTGACAGTTCAGGAGCCGTAAGTTAGCCATGTGTCCTTACAACACTAGAAGCTCAAAGTGTCACTGACTCAGGTCTGGCAAGTGCGGGGCATCTGTGGTCAGGACTCACAGGGATCACACTGGCTCTGGGTGTCGTCCTTCTACTAGGGAACAGTAGCAAATCTAGTTGGAGTTGGTATGTCCATCTCCTTTTCAAAGAGCAGCGTCAGCAGAGAAAGAAAATATTTGCTAAGAACTTGAAAGTTAGTGTTTACCTTTGCTGTTTGTTCTGTCCAGTTCTAAGGTTGAAGTTTAATTGCCATTGACCCAACACTGCCAAGATCGTCCTTTCCTAGTTAGGTTGAAGGAGCTGTTTAAAGGCCTTTACTTAAATATTTCAAGTAAAACCTGGACAGTTTATTAGCTCAAGGTTTAAATCTGAACCTTCAAATCTCTGAGCCAACATTTTGGAAAGATTCCAGTCTTTTTATTCTGTTCCCTGAGAACCCTCACAAGAACAATGGTGAGCACAGTGAAGCTGACTTCCCCTTGGCAAGGTTCAGGTTTTGACTCTTTGTAGCAGGCATTGTCAATGACTGACATTGATGTAGAAGGTGTTAGTAAGATTGGTTCATTTCCAGAAGCTCTTGGGGAGAAATGTTTGTGGCCTGTTCCACTTTCTAGGGACCACTTGGGTTCCTTGGCTTATGGCCACCTCCTCCATCTTCAGTGCCAGCCATGTGGTACCTTTATGTCTCTTTCCAGCAGACTCCATATTCTACTTACAAGGCCCTTTGATGACATTGGGCCCACCCAGATAATCAAGGATAATTTCATTTTAAGCTCAGTTGATTAGAAACCTTAATTCTATTGCCAACCCTAGATCCCCTTTGCTCTGTAACAGAACATAGTCAGATTCTGGATACTAGGACTTGGATGTCTTGGGTGGTTGGGTAGGGTCTGTTACTCTGCCCTGCGGTGTAGATTTAACCAGATTTAAAAGCCTAGGTTTCAAAATATTTGGAGATGATACCTAGGGAGTCCTTGCTCCTTAGTTTCTTCTGTTAAAAGCTTGCATTTTTTTTTTAGCTGTGTTCTGCTCCTTTCTCTTCTCTACACATCTCTCACTTACCAATATAATTAGAAAATTCAGTCATAATTGTTGTTCTCCCTTATTTATGACTTGGCCTTTAATATACAGGATTCTGTCTTTTCTTGCTTTCTACTCACCCTCTTAGGGTTTTATTCCTCTGGGGACTTTCCACTGCTGGAACCCAAATCGGTTGCTTCTCAGCCTGCTCTAGAACCCACACCATGGCCAGTAGTTTAGGTCTTGTGCTTTATTTCCTAAGTACACTACACACTCTCATGCTTGACTGTTCTCAGCTCTGAACTAGCAAACAAAAATTGTTTTTCTGTAAATAGCATGGACTATTACTTTTTCCAGTTTATTCTGCCTTTTTAGCCTGCTTGAAAAAAACTCACCCCCATCTCTGTTGGGTAGTGTTTCTGCTGCTGTCAGCACCCAGCATTCCACATTCATGCCCCAGTGCAAGAGACTGTGCTTCAACATGTCCTGGAAGTATTTTCCCCACACAGCGTATCATGCATTTATCTTAAGAGAGGTGGGTTTAATTATTAAAGACTCTGGAGTCTGTATTAAAAGTTTATGTAAGGAAAACAAATCACTGTTCAAAAATGAAAAAAAACAAAACAAAACAAAACAAACACAACACCTGGTCTTTCTCACTCTATGTGATGCCTCTATTATTATTATTTTTTTAATCTCTCTCCCTGAACCTCATGATGGAAGCTAGTGTGAAAATGGGCAATGAGAAAATTAACCAAAAAGCCTCACACATTTGCATTGACATTTTACACAAGATAGTTACTCCATCATTTTTAGGACTATAAAATACTCCACTGATGAGGAACTAGTTTAAAAATACCTAGTATAATCACACTAAGACAACTATATATAGCAGTGAGATGTATTGATTCCAACCTCCAAGATATTTCAAATAAAATAGCCATTCAGAAGTTTATATATTATGCTTCTTTAAAGGATTAAATTAAAAAGGAAGTCTAATGTATGTCTACTGCGATACACATAGAACATGTCAGGTTCACCTGTGAAACTTAGGAGCTGTTGTCTTGGAGACCTGGAGGCAGACTTGGCAGATACTTCCTGCTAATTTCATTTGTCCTAGTTAAAGCCTGTATCTAGTCATGCAGGTATGAGAATGTCTTTTCATCTCCCGACTTTTGACACAGGACATTTCTTCCCACTTACAAAGCCGGTATGGTATCTGGATGTGCGCTCAGCTGAGTGTCATGATATCCTCTTCTGGGTTGGTCTCTTGAGATTTTCAGGATGTACATATACTTGATAACTTAAAAGATGAATAACCTCGTACACCACTTGCATGAGTTCCATCCTTTCTTTGGGGGGGAGGCTATGTGGCAGCAATAAGGGCTGAAGCAGAGGCAGTAAAATCATGCTGTGAGTGAAGGAAGTTAGCCGTGATGGGGAGGAATAATGTTAACTTAATAATTGCTCCCACTTCATTGGCATTTGGTATTTTCATTATGATTTCAACTTGCAAGAATTCACCCCCTTAAGAGATTTCTTCAGAAGTGAGTTATCCTTGTAATGTGATAGGAGAATGTATTTGAGTTAACCACATGTGTGTGCTACTTTTAAAAAAAGAAAACAAGAGGTTCCTTCCTCTTATGGAGGCCTTCAAAGAGATGATACGTGAATCCGGGGCATTTTAAATGAATGGACGAACTGCCCACCAGTGGCTGTGGTTCAGGGCAAACTTCAAGGTGAACCAGGGACCAGGAGACAGACTTGATAGATCAATGTGAGACCACAGACAACGGCTTCCCTCCACCACCAACCCAATCTTGAATTGTGGATGTGCTATGGTATGCCAAAAATCAATAGCAGATATGCAAAATGAAACAAAAGTTTATTTTCTGCAATGTCTTCTGTAAATTACAAAGGCAAAATGCTACACTACAGCATATAACTTTTCAATATTTAACCAGAGTACTTGTAATAAATATGCATCCTGAAACAAGATAAAAGGCTACACTTTGTCAGGCATCCTACAAAATGTCTCAAGTTTCATTATACTCTGCAGCATTTCTGTGTGGGGGCCAGAGGGGAAGGGTGGTGTTTAGTGTTTTCTTAAGTGCTACAACAAAAAGTTCTTTCACATTTCTTTGGAGCATTTTTGTAATTGCCTAACTATACACAACTTAAGAAAAGTAACACCATGAAAACCATTTTTGTTTTGCGGGCACTAGTCTTCCTCCAACACAGATGAACACATCACCCAATGCAGCCAAGCGTCCTCCAAGCCCAGCAGCCCTAGAGAATGGGGGGTCACTGTAGGCAGCCCTGGGAAACAGGGGTCCTGTTAGAGCAGCCTGCACTTCAGCTATATATACCCTAAGAGACTTTTGTAGTCAGCCTTCAATAAGGTCAAGGTCAACTTGCAAGCAAGTTTGAAACATTTTTAACAGGAAAGTAAACAGACATTTCCCCCATGACTTTTGCTAGGCGCCATCCCACCATCAGCTCCCCCTATGGGTGCTTGCAGACAGCATTTCAGATAATTGACTGACCTGGCACAAGCTGAGGCATTTGAACATATTCAGAGGGTAAAAAAGGACTGACTGTATTCAGACATATGCCACAGTCCTAGGGACACATCGGCAAAAGTCCAGGATTATTGGAGGCAGCTCATACTGAATTTAGAATATGTAATTAACTACCTTTTGCTACAGCTGAGAACACTGAGGAAAAAGTTCTATTTTTAAAAAGTCTTACGCATGGTTATCTAAAAAATGTTTTAATATAGTCTAATGTAAATTTCACTTTAGGGCCTTAGGTATGAAAACATCTTTAAGGGCCAATATAAATATTGTAAAGGGGAAAAAAAAAACACTTTCCAAAAACTGAGGTGATGAACTACGAGGCATTCTTTTGGCTGTAAACACACAGTTTACTATCCTTGGTTGAAACACAAATGTTTGGATTTCCTGAGCTTCATGGAGAATAGCAGGAGGCAAGTTTGCATAGAAAATCTGCAGTATGTCAATGATTTACTTAAGAACTTTCAAAGACAACTTGCTTTAGTTTTTAAACCTGTGTAGGTATTAGTGCTCATCAAACTGGATTGCTAAGCAGAGAGGAGATCTGTAAGGCAGAGGGGGGTGAAATTAGGAGTTTTTTTAAATCCACAGGGTTTCATGATACAGGGTTTTAATTAAGCAGGGCCATATTGTTTGGTTCGCTATTAAATCATGTTGTGGGACTGGCAAGCAAAGCGCCCTCCCTTTGCGCATGGCCTGAGTTAGGAACCAGCAGTGCTGAAGCCACATGGGACAGGGGCAGGCTAGGGGCAGCTCCAGCATCTGACCAATGACCAAGCCTTTCACCTCTGCTGCGGTGAAGTTCTGAGCAGGAGTCTTCTCCTGGAATGGTGCTCAGAAAGAAGCCTCTGGAAAGGGAATAAGCTATGCTAGATCACAGCGCACACCACGAACGAGAACTACGGCAGTGGTTACCACCAGCTCCAGATGGAACACAGAAGGACCATCAGGCTACTGTCCTACAAAGAATCCACTTTACTTCTTCTGGGATTGGTGTTTGCACATGGTGAGGATCTGCTTCAGCACCTTCTGGACATCTTCGTCCATTTGGCCCTAGGACATTCAAAACAAAGACACTCATTAGGACCTGGACCCAAGTTAAGTCCTGGCATGTGTCCTCTAGGGGACAGGGATGAAGCCCTGGGCCTTCCCCCAGTCTCTCCAAGGACTTAGGCCTCTTGTCAGTTCCCAAATTTCCATGCAGAAGTGGGTCAAAGGGAGGCCCCTGCTCTTTGCCTGCTAGAGAAAGAGGCAGGGCCTTTCAGAGTCCCCCAAAGGGCTTCCGGGTTTTCAGTTGCCAAAGTGATCAAGCTAGCAGAACACCAAGAGGCACAGAGTGAGACAGTGCTGATGGTGCCCGGAATATCGCTGTCTCTGGAGAAGCAAGCCTGGGTTGGTCCTGATGAGGCAGAAGAAGCCACATCCACCTTCATTTCTCAACAAATGAGGTTGTTGTCAGTCAACAGGACCTGGTGGTCCTGACAGAAATCCAAAGCAGGGCAGGAACCTTTTTTTTTAATATAATAGTTTCTTTTTACATCATTTTGTACATTTCTTTTTTCATCTCAATTGTAATCCCCGTGGGTTTCCCATCACCGAGTCACCCATGTGCCATCACCATAGTCCTGTGCACTTCCCTCCCCACCCCCCAGGACAGGAGGCATTTTTAAGTTTACCAATGAAAAACACTGCATCACTGTATTCTCATTTGTTCTACTAATTTAATGATGGGGTTTGGGCAACAATGATGTGGTGTTTCTGCAGGGTTCCCAGACACCGCATTGGGCTGCCATACCTGCACAGCGTACAGAAGATGCATTCTGTAAACTGATATGACCTCCTGGTGTTGCTTTTTACATTCCTAGAAAAAGACCATTGTGCGCTGTTAGCCAGTATTTAAAAAACAAAAGCAAAATCCATGAAACACTTCTCTCTCTGCCAAACACTAGCACAGAAAATACATCGTTGTGAGTTTACCAGGTTGGGGATATCTAAGCACTGGCCAGTATTCTTAGGGGAGAGAAATCTACTTCATATCTTGGTATATCAACTCCAGAAGAAAAGTTATGCAAAAAGTAGTTATTGTAATCCGAAATTAATTTTTAAACATGTGTACGCATGCTTGCTTACACAAGAACACAGAGAAGGAGCGAATTCATGTGGGAAAGGTAACATAGCCTTCTCAACTAAAACCTTCATGGATACTGTGGCATGGGAAATAATGGTCGCTGAAGATACCCATGCTCCATACAGGTGAATGTTACCTGTGTGTAAAAGGGCTCTTGCAGAGATGATGAGATTAAGGATTTTGAAACGGGGGGAAAAATTATCCTGATTATTGAGAGCCTGGGGGTGCTTAAATGTAACCACAAAGACCCTTCTAAGTGGAAAAGAAAGTCAGATGGAAAATGAGATGCGGATGAAACCAGCGGCTGCTGTGATGTGCTGAATGATGGAAAGAGTGACCACAAGGCAAGGAATTCAGACAGCCTCTAAGAGCTACACCGGGCAAAAACATTGGGTTCACCTCAGGGACTCGAGAAAACACCAGCCATGCTGATATCTTGACTTCAGCCTAGTGAAACTGAGTCTGGACTTCGTGATCGCCAGAGCTGTAAAGATGGCCAATTTGGGTTGTTTTAAACCAAGTTCGTGTTACAATAGCCATAGGAAATCTATCCAGGTAGGAGAGCTTTCCCAGGTGAAATAAGAGGCTTTGGATATGCAGAACGGGAATGCAGAGATCCTGACCCCTAACGAGAAGTAGCTCTAGCCACTGGCAAAAATGATTAGGACTGTTGCAGAAAACTGGAGAAGGCGTGAACAGTGGATGAGCGGACAGAAGCCTCTTCCCTCCGCCCTGCCTTTTCCTCCCTTCCCAGTGATTCCGTAACCCCTCTCATTGCAGATGATAACTGGGGATTTTACCAGTTCTTCATTTGCCCTCACCAAAGTAATCAACAGCCCACTGGAGTTTGACACACTCTTTAGGCTAGAAAGCTCTCTGTTCACTAAGAGCTGAGCTGAGCTGAACTGTAGCGTCCCTTCCCCACCACCCCAAACCAGGCAGCAGAAACACGGCCACTCACAGCCAGCTGGTTCTGTAGCTGCTTGACCTGCTGCTGCAGAGCTTCGAGCTGTTGGCTCGGCCTCTTGCTGGAGCTTGTGGAGTAGGAGAGCTGTGACAGGCTGTTTAGGGCCTCCTTCAGCTTGGTGACCTCCTTTGCCATCTCATTTATCTGGTAAGAGAGAAGAATTACAGGAATAGGCAAGACCACACCTGCAGAAGCAAACTTGCAAATATTTCTACGTCTTGAATAAAGTCTCTCTGGCCTCTGGGATTCAGGATACTGCAATTATTCCTTTCTACTTACTTAAAGACACCCCACAGAATCAAATCATTAATGAAATCAGACAACCCAACCTGACATTCAAACGAAGGTCCCTGATGAGATACTGTGTTCTGGAGTCAGAGGGAAACATAAGCTATGACGTTAACCTCTTTTTCCCGTTAAAAGGGTATATACTGCAGAAAAACTAAGTGGGAAACAGGATGTTAGGGATATTTTATTAGGAGAGAGCTGTCATGTCCAATAATGCAGACACGGAATAATGTTCCGGACTCCTAATGCCTCTGACATTTTGCTTTAAAGTGAGCACATACCTGGGACCACATGGTTTTGGAAGCTTTGTGAAACACTCATTATGACAGGCTAGAGGACAAACGGACAAACAGCGCCCCCACCAGTGCCATCCGGAGCACCTGACTCAGGGACTAGATGCAGAGCAGACCCAGGTGCACCAGCACGCTTCGTTGTCCTCCCGCACCCCAATTCCAGCACCATCTCTAACTGCCGGCACCATCTCTGGCTGCTCCCCACGTCCCTCCCTTCCCCTTTGAAAATGAAGCCCAGAAAGGAGTTTTTATACTGTGTCAGGAGAATTCATGACACTTAGAGAAACAGAATTAAGTCTGGGAGTGTTTGGGTTTCTATATGATGGAGGAATCTGTCTGGATCCTGACAGATTTGAAGCTTCAAGATGCTTTTCAGTTTGTGGGTTCAATTCTGACCCCTGATACCTGGAATTTTTTAAGGGTCAAATTTTCACCTACTACCTATGTGAAAATGCTTTAATATCTAGGAAAAGTAAAAGATCACTGATCTTAAGGAAATAGCTAACCTACTATTTTTTTTTAAAGATTTATTTATTTATGCAATTAGAACTGGGGTATATAGGCCAGAGGTGCCCCCGAGAGAGGATTCACCAGAGCCAGAGTGGGGAGCAGAACAGGCCGACCAATGAAGTACACGGCTGAGGGGAGCAGCGGGTGGGTCAGGAGAGGGCTGCCGCACCATGTGGATCACCTCTGGGGCAAGGAATCGAACACATACATGAAGTAGCTTTAGCTTCTTAGTGCTGTGCTTTAACCCCCTGTGCCACCAGGGAGGGCCCCTAACCTACTGTTCTTAATGGAGCTCATTCAGGCTGGTGCTGAGGAACGCTAAGCCTGCTGACCGCATTAGGGCTGACCCTCAGGTCTCATAGCTACGGACCCAAACAGCAACACAGCTTCACCAACCTTCTTATCTTTATCCTCCTCCAGTTTTGAAGAGTTCTCAGAGTATCTCTTCATCTCTGCAAGCTCTTCCTGGGCATGTTGGAATTTCTGGTGAAGTTCGCCCACTTCTTGCTCTTTGGATTTCAAGAGAGACTGAAAATTTTCCTTTTCCCTTTTCATTTGGGAGACCTCGCTTCTAATCTGGCTAACCTCTGCATGGGCCTTCTCTTTCTCCTTGACAGACTCCTTTAATTTCGATGCCAACACACTCACTTCACTTTCTAAAGACGACTGGAGCTTCTCATAGGAGGCCCGGGGCACCATGGCGTCAGTCATGGCCGCCTTCTCCTCCACGAGCTGTTTCTCCAGCGTGGCCACTAGGGCATCCTTGCTGGCAAGGTGCTCCTTCAGGCTGCTGATTTTTTCATCCATCTCTTTGGCAGCTGCCCGCAGCGTGGTGACCACCTGCAGGTGCTCCGTGATGGACACAGAATTCTCCTTCTGCGCATCTACCAGCTGCTTGAGCTGGCTCAGCTCACGCAACACTTTCGAGTACTGAGACTTCATTTCGGACAGGGCCTCCTCGGCCTTAGCCCTAGAGATGTTTGTCGCCTGCATCAGCTTCTCGTGCTCCGCTTTATGGATATACTCAGCTGTTACGTCCTCCAGCGATTTCCTCTTCCGGTAATCCTCCAGCTCGGCCTGGGCCTCCTTGTACAGCTGGGACAGCTCACTCACCTGCTTGTTGAGTTCATCTATCATGCGATTCATGGCCTCCTTCATGTCCCCAGTGTCATCCCCAGCCTCCTGGGGCGCCTGACTTTTCAGGGTCTCTTTTAATTTCATAATTTCTTCTTGGGCCTCCTGGTATTTCTCAAGCAAAAATGCTTTCTCCTTATTCATATTCTCAATCACAGAGCAATAGGAGCTTTTCATTTCTTCATATTCTTCGACAGACGGCTTAGTCGCCATGCCTTTTTCCCTCTCTACAAGTCTTTCCTCTAACTCTCTCACTCTCTCTCTATTTCTTTCACTTTCTTCTAATGCCTTCTGGAGATCCTGCTTCAGCACCCCTATTTCCTCCTCAGTCTGCTGCAGCTCACGGAGCTGGGAATAGCTATCCATGCTCTCGGGGGAGACGAGCCCTAGTTTCATCTGCTTCTGCACACTTAGAACTTCTTTCATAGCCTCCTCATACTTGCTCTGAGTTTCTTTCAGCTTCTGGCTAAGGTCGGAGCCATTCTCTGCAATCTCTGCATTGTTCACGCACACCAGTTCCGTCCTTTTGGAGTGGAGTTCACCATGGAGATGCTGCCTCTCCGCTTCAGAGCTCTCCAACCTCCTCTGTAAGTCCTGCACCATCTCTTGGAGTTGCTGAATCCTGACATCGCCGTCGGCTGTGGGTTTACTCAAGGACTGCGTTAAGACAGGTGGAGATGATTTGGATTCTGGGGGTGAGGTCTCCCGCGCTTGGCCCAGGGGCGGGGCCAGGTCAGTCTGAGTGGAATGGTAAGAGTCAAAGCTCAGGTCTGCTTCTGCCTCCTTCAGTGCTTTGGCCTGGAAAAGGCAAGAAGGAGACGCCCCCAGTGGTGTGGTTAGGTGAGCTGACACAAGCTATGCAATGTCTACCGTCTGACAGATTCCGGGTAGATCGGGAAAAGCTCTGAAAAATCACACTTTCCACTGCTAATGTATGTTATGACCTCCCTTTTTTGTATAATTGTAATATCCAAATATTCTGAGCAACTTTCAGCTTATAATTGGATTGCCTCAGCCGCATAAGGCCTGCCTGCCCTGACAAGCAAGCACTGCACCAGGGTGAAAAATTCCCCTGAAGTCAAGTGACTTGACTACTGACTGATAAAAGCAAAAGGGCTGTTTTTGCAAAGTCTCTCTCACTGCTGATGGATGGAGGAAAACCCAAATCTTACATTCTATTATCTCACCTCGTCTTCTATTCAGCTTCTAAAGAACTACTCAAACTTCCTATTGTCTGGCCTTTAGATGTGGAAATTCATCCAGGTTGCCTGTTTTGAAACTAGTCAAGTTTTCCACCTGCTACACCTTAAAGGAATCCACAAAAGTCTTCTGGCTAGTCTTTCAGGATTCTACTATGTAGTCTTCAGATAAGGAAATTCACCTATGTCTCCTATTCAGAGATTTGATTAGCAAGGAATTTCCTCTTCTGCCTCCCAGGATGACTCAGGCAGAAAAACAAAAACCCATTAAGTAGTAGATAAGGTTTAAGGGACTTCTACCTTAGTTGATCTCCACTACAGTAATATTAGTCATAAACTTTGTGCACCTATGTACCTGTTTTTAACCTTGATTGATTTTAGAATGTTAGATCTCAGCTGAAGGGCAATACGACCCTAAACTGTTCTTAGAAAAAAAAGATGATTGTAATCTCTCAGCCCAGTTCGTGTGCTGATGTCATCCCACTGCTTGCTCCTAATGTATAAAATAAACCTCTGCTGAAGGCAGAGCAGGAAGACTTGCACCCAACTCCGATTCCCGTGTCTTCCTTGCTCCCCTTTCCCTTTTTTCTCCTTCTCCCCTTTTTTAGGAATCTCTGCTCGCTGATGCCTTCCCACCTTAGGGTCCTGCCTGTCTTGCCTCCAGACACCTCAATAGTTGGAGCTGGTCTCCAACAGTGAGCAAGCAACTGGAAGGAGAGGACAGGCCTGAAAATCAGGTATGGGAACGCAAGGGAGCTTTCTATGCACATTCAACCCCATGAGAAAATATGGCTTGGGACATGAGGGATGGATGGACGAGATTTCTTCTATGCGCTCTCTACACAGATTGTACTACCTTAAAAGCACTACAATTAGAGCTACCAAGGCTCTGATTCAAGTTTTTTCTTTGTTTCTCAAGTTACTCTGGTCACTGCTGTGACCAGCAATCGTCTGATTACTGCTATTTTTATTAAGTTCTCAAATCTGCTACATGATGAACTTTATGAAACAAATACTAGTCATATAGTATAAAATAGTCATCCGTATATATAATTTACCAATTTATAGAAATACAGTTACTTCAAAACTCAATAAACAATTTGAAACTTTAAGATGCTCAAGGCTTTATTTAAAAAGAAGAAACCAATGCATATGTTGAAAACATAATATCATCTAACCCTGAAACACCAATACCTTGACCTTAAGAACAGGCTGGGGAGCAATCTATTTACTTACCTGTAACTTATCTTGTAATTCTTTATTGTGTAAGGTAAGAGAAGCAACTTTTGCTTGTAACAGGACAAGAAGCTCTTGCTGGTCAGCCTCAGAACTTATATCCAACAAGCTGTCAGCACCTTGGGAAAAGAGACAGGCGCTTTAAAACAATATTTTAAAAATTAAACCGTTATTTCTCTAGCCTCTACCAAGCTCATTCTCCAGCCCAAATCATTTCTCCTAGAACTGACTATGAAAGGCCCTGCCAGCTGGACAGATGGGCAGTGATCCCTGGTTGAGGTGTCGTGCCTGGGACATCACTAACATAGTATGAAATGCTTGGATGTAGCTACATCATCTGAAACCTGATGACTTTGCTCATACATTTCCTATTCACTTGATGAAGTGAATGATTGAGTTTTTCCTTTCATGCCTAGTGAGTCCCATTTCAGTGAATGCTTCTAGAAGTATTTCTGGCAGTGGGAACATTTCTTACGCCTACCAGCATGACTCCTGTGCAAATTTAACCATCAAACCTGGAAACTCTGCAATAACTTCCTAACAAATCTCCCCTTTCCCTGAGTGATTCTGTCAGAGACTAGCCTTCCCAAAACACGCTGTGAGAGGGACATTTCTCTGGTTTGAGTGCTTCCTTGCTCTCTCTCCAAAGGTAATCTCCAGTAATCCAGATTAAAGCCTCTATGAGCTTTTTCTACACTTACAGCTTTATGCTTTGGGGTTTTCTCTAGATTTCCATTTTCCTAAGATTCAAGGTTTCCAGCACACCTTCTCTATTGTCAACACGAGGCAGCCTCTCTACTTCATCATACAGCTGCCCCTGCAGCTGCTCTGGCTAGATAACACTTAGGTATCCTTCAACACCCCTGACAAACTGTCTCCTCCTCAAAGCATTGGCTGGCTACCCACCACAAAAGTCTTTTCTCTTCTGAATGCCACAGAATCACTGGTGGTAAACCACAATTTTCTGACATCCTGACGAATGATCATGAAATAGCACTTAAAAGAAATGCTACTCAAAGTGTTCAGTGACACAAGATAACTTGCCCCAGGATGTAATTCAAAGTACTGCAGCCTTCATGAGGAAAGTCTTCCTTTGCCAGCAGGGCATAGCAGAAGGCTGGCGAGATGGGGTTGCCTTCTGAGATACTCTCTTTGTTCACTGCAACTGATCTTTTTTTTTTTAATTCTTTTGTCTTTTCCTTTCTTGTGCTATTTAATTCACTCAAGAAAACTCAAGACCTTAATTTGGCAGGATGCAAAATGACATTTCTTCACAAAATGCTTGCTTCTGATGTCTGGTGCCTAAGCCATGACCCTGCAACCCCTCGGCTCAAGGTCTGGTAAGTTCAGAAATTAAGAGAGGGGTTGGGGCACGACTTTAATTCCCAGTCACAGAAGTTACTACTATGACATAACAGAGGATTCTCAAAGTATTCAGTATGACGATTGTTCAGTTCCAAGAACACTGATCTCTGTTGGGAATTAGGGAAAGTTTAGTTTTTCTAAATTCGTAGAGAAGGCTTCTGATGCACAGGAAATGCAGTTGACTAAAACACTGAAAGCTGGGTTGAAAAGGGTCTCTGACTTCATCTATGCTACATTTTAGATTTATTTTGAAGACAGTATACTATATTCTTGGGTAAACCCACAGGATGACCTCTTAATACACCGAATTAAACTCTGCCTTGTGGAAGATTATCTGATTCCATCAGCACCATCTCTAGAAGTGTCCATTAAACTCTGAAAAGTCGGACTGTGGCTGCCCATGAGACGGTCAGTGGCTCTTCCTTCCGGAGACACCCAGCCACTGAGCTCTGAGGAGTGCAGCTAGTTGACGTCCGAAGGCCATGCCATCTCAAAATAACATTTTAAAATATATAAAAGAGAATACACAGGCATTTGTAATTTAAGAGCTTACTTTGTAACAGGCCACATAAGATTTAGCAACAGGTCTCATGACTGCCTTGTTCTTAGTAAAGAAACTGCAAATGATATTTCAAGACATCTGCAGTTAACAGGTGAAAAGACACTGAATTCTTTTGGTATCAAACTTATGGGTCTGCTAATATCACTGGCGGCTCGTGCCTATTTTCATAATGGAAGGAAGGGCTAGTATGTGGCAGGGAAAAATGAAACTAGAGGTATATTTTCTCACATTCAGCTCACTGATGCTTTAAAATCTAGGTGAGGCCTCTGAACACTGACAGCTCTAGGGTGGCACGAGGGGTGTCTCAGCTTCGCTGAACAGGGCTCCCCACTTGGCCTCTGCTCCCTTGAAAAGGACGTCGACTTGGTCTTACCTGTGGTGCTATCACTTAGTCTATCTTTGTTTTCCCGGATAGAACTGATCTCAGCCTGCTGGAACACAAGAACAATGACTTAAAAGAACATTCCTGGATGTGACACTCCGCAAAAGAATCTACTAATTTTTCCCATTTCCAGAATTGGAAATTCTAGGAAAACAAAATATCAAAGGGAAGAAGATGTAAAACACACAGAAGTAAACACTGACAATTATCTACTAAGGTATAGTTTCTAAAACAGAGGTTCCAGAGAACATATTCTCAAAATAGTTTTCAGAAATTTTATTTAGTAAGTATCATAAAAATATCTTTTGAGGTTGTAGTAATTTTAGGTAATAATTAAATTAGTGGACAATGTTCTAAAACCTAAGCTAAAGAAACTATTTTCATAATGAAGTCAAAGAGAAGTTTTAACTATCTGGGTAATAAATTGATTAAAATATTTTAACAATACCTTTCGGTTTTATCATTTGATAAATTATCTGCCATTAATATGCATTAATGGTAGTAAATAAGACTTGTCAGAGAGGATAAAGTTTTACAAGGAAGTAAAAATTCTTATGGTCTTGGATCAACAATTGATCCCATAAAGATTTCCCATAAACCTTTGTCCATGAAAGTCTGTAATTTATTGCAAAAAATCTTGTAATGTCAAAGCCAGATTCTTATTTCAAAACAAAATACAGTGACTTGCCAAAAAATTATTATGTTTCATCTAGATGAGCCACAGACCATGATAAGAGAGATAATTTTTCAGCAAAGGAACTTTTGTAAAGGCCAAATGATAAATAAAGTGGCTTATTTTTGGCAAGTTCTTATCGTTCCAAAATGCTGTCTTTTCACTTAAAAAAATATGTACTTATTTTTCATCTACAGTAAGGTACAATAAACTGCATCCATTAACAGTTTTCAATTTGAGTAATTTTGACAAATACATGCCTTTGGAACCATCATTGTAGTCAAAAACAACATTTCCATTACCCTGAAAGTCCTCAGACCTCCACACTACTAATCCTTTCCTACCCCACCCCCGGCTTTTTGAAAATTCCTATAAATAGAATGTCACATAAAGAATATTTCTTTATGTCTGGCTTCTTTCACACCACATAAAAATTTTCTAATTCAGCTTTGATGCTGTTTGGGCAGTATCTCATTCTATTTTTTTTATGACTGAGTATATTCCATACAACCCAGACATATCTTATTCTCTGTATCATTTCACATATTGAAGGACATTTGGTTTCATTTGGGGGCATCTGAATAAAGCTGCTATATAAACATGTGTGGTGCAACATTTTTGGAGATATAGTTTTCGTTTCTCCTGGGTAAATATTTATGAATGAATGGCTAGGTCATATATCAGATTTAACACCTAAAGAAACTGTAAACATTTCTGAAAGTAGTTGTAACATTCTACATTCCTATCAACAGAGTACGAGTTTTAGTTCTTTTATAGCCAAACCAATAATTGATACTTTTTCAAAATTTTAGTCATTTTCTTTAAGTACTCTTACAAATGAAAATTTTTTCACTTGTGGTTACAATTTAGAATGCATTGCCTTCTCTGAGCCACAATTACACTCGAAGATATTAAGATACAAATTATAAGATACAAGTTATAATTATAACTTCTTTTCTTACATTGCTTTGGATCGGTATTCATCTTACGAGTTTTAGTAAAATCAGGTCCTCTCTGGTAGCACAGCAGGTTAAAGCACAGCACTAAGAAGCTAGCACAGCCACTCAGCATGAGCTTGATCCCCAGCCAGGGAGGTGACCCACATGGTGAGGCAGACCTCTCCTGGCCCGCCTGCTGCTCCCTGGCTCCCCTCAACAGTATATTTCATTTGCCTGTTCTGCTCCCCACTGTGCCTCTGGTGAATCCTCTCACACCCCCACCTCTGGCCTGTAACCCAGTTTTATATAAATAAATCCTTTTTTTTTTTAAAGATTTATTTATTTATTCGTACAGAACTGGGGTACAGGCCAGAGATGTGGAGGGTGAGAGGATTCACCAGAGACAGAGCAGGGAGCAGAACAGGCAGATTGACGAAGTACACTGCTGAGGGGAGCAGCGGGCGGGTCAGGAGAGGTCTGCCACACCATGTGGTCACCTCCGGGGCAGGCGGGAATCGAACTCATGCGGAAGTGGCTTTAGCTTCTTAGTACAGTGCTTTAACCCGCTGCACCACCAGGGAGGGCCGCGTTTTAAAAAAAGTTTCAATAAAATCTAGTTAAAATGAGAGAATTGATAAGCTCGTAGACTCTTTCAAAGCAATGTGCAGTGAAGTTAGATCATTTTTCTTTACAAATTCTTAGATGAGAGAAACAAAATTATGAACACTGAAATTTTATTTCAACAATTACTTTCTTTTCCAGCACAATTTCCCACTAATCATTAGGTAAACAAATAGGGAACTGGAGACCCCTCTACTGTTTTAGATAAATTTGAATCACACATCTACAGAACCAGATGTAATAAGACCTACTGGATTTTCTAAATTTTAAAAAATACATATTATTGTTATAGTCAGGAAGTTTAGTTAAAATTTACAATTACTTATCAGTAAGACACCAGAGAATAACAAAAACATCTTTTATGTTGACTGGCATTATTTCAATTAGGTTTGGTAAGAAGACTCATTATCAGGAAAGTTCTTATCTTTGTTTCTTCTTCTCCATGAAGAAAATTGTTAGCTAATGAGTGTAATGTATTCATTCCACTCTTTTTGTAAGGAGTCTATGCCAGGACAATTAATCACATGAAAACGATGTGACTCAATCAAAAGAATATTGTTTTGCCCAGTATTATAAAATGTAAACTAAATCTGTTATGTATCATAAGATTCAACAGTAAAACTGAACATAGAAAGGAAATACCTTAAAGGGTGGTTCAGCAAAAAATACTGGTTCTTTTCCTGAAAGTGGTGTTGAAGTTATTGATCTTGGAGAAGACACATCACTCAACTGAAAAAAGATATTATACCACTGATGAAAGTGCTTCTTTGCTGCTCATCTTCAGTGCTAAAGAATTAACCTATTTAACCTATCTAAATAAATCTAAAAGTAACTATTCTTAATTTTAATGAATTCAGGGTAACATATTTACAATGTTAGTTAGCTACCTCAAATTGTCCACGTTTTGAAAATCAGTGGTTTAAACTAAGTAACTTTATTCCTATATGTACTAGAATCAATTTAAAAGTATAAAACATCTATTGTAGTTGAGAATGTTAATGAGTAAGCTAATGTATTTGAACTGCCTTTTAGATGAGATATTTCTCTCAACTATTTGAATATAGATCATCCCTTTCATGGCTTAGAATTATTTTAGTAACAAATCCCAGTCTGTTTTCATTTGCATTTCATAGCTATCTAGCTTCCTCCTTTCTGCAGTAGCCACACAATATGTTCAGAAATGAAAGCTCCTTTTAATATTAGACAACTTTCAATGAAATTAGAAAGCCATATTAATGTTTTAAGAAACCAACCAAAACTCATTTTTAACTAACTGTCTTATTGGATACCTATTTTATCCCTTTTAACTAGCACTTTCATCTTAGGAACTAAAAGTAGGCTGATCTTACTAAGAAAAAGTTCTCTTAAGGTTTTGAGAAATATTTTTGAGGCTCTTAGGAAAGACACTGTTTAATTCTTCAGTTTTTAAGTTAGTAAGAATATTTCCATACTACTACTAACCATCATTCATACCATTAATTGTAACTTCAAACCACAAAAGAAAAAACTTAACATGAGTTAAACAGTTCTAAAACACTTCTTTTTGGCCTAAACACAACATGACAAAATTATGGCTTTGTTGTTTCATGTTTGTTTGTTCTTGGTTTGCTTTTGTTTTTACCTGGGTAGGACTGATAGGAGGTGGTGGAGCTTTGCGTTTTTTTGGAGTTCCACTTCTTTCTGAGCTTATTTTAGAGACTTGATCATGCTGAAAGTTAGCACAATCCAAAGAATGGAGGTGGGTTAGTTATGTTAGTAAAGACTGAGTAAATAGCTTCATCAAACATATGAGAAACACCTCAACAGTTCATGCATTTCTTACTTCATCAAGACCTGAAATCAGCTACATAAAAATAAGTAATATGCATGCTCCAAGTTTTCTTCCAGCAGCCATGTTTTAATAACAAGAAAATAAAAAACACAAGACACAAAACCATAATGAGTTGATGTAGAGAGCTGGAAAAGTAGAAGGATCAAGCGTTGTCTATCACAATTTAGAAACTAAAACACACCCTTGTCTAGTTTCCAACTTAATGCAAAGCAGTGATTTTCCCCACCTTTGCATTATTCCTATTAATTATCTTAAAGAGTATAAATAGGGGGAGAAGGAGGACCTCATCTTTGGAGATTAATAACATGATTAGCACATAAGAAATTCAGTATTAAGTATTTGTTGCTTACAATTTTTTCAAGTACACTGACATGCAAACAAATAAATCTAACAACATATATCTTGTTAATAAAGTGAACAATAAACTTTCCCTTTTAGTAAAGGCTCCAAAATAACAGGGCAAACTTCTTAGCTCTTATATAACACTAATAACGTTTTGGAAAAGCCCCAGTTAAAATAAAAGGTTATTCCTTCCACCTTCACTAGAGATCAAACATTGCCATTGGTGTAAATGTATAATCCATGTGATATTTTAAGAATTTAAAATACTGTTATTCACTCTCAGAGTTTAACCACATCCAACATATTCATACCAATAAGAAATATTAGTACATTTCAGAAAAAGATGAATATATAAGTAGTAAGCTTAAAGTTACATGCTTTGGAAATAAGGTAAATCATTAAGAAAATGTTTATCAACTTATAATGACTATTAATTTATTCTAAAGGTATTTCCTTCCTTAAATATTTTCAATAATTATTTGTCTAGTGGACCAAAGGAGGGGGGTTATCAGAATTTTTTCAAATTCCAGCAAAGATGAAAAAAAGCCCTTCCCCTCCCAAAGATAAATACCTGCTTTGGTTTTGTTGGTGTCTTTAAATCTATAGAGGAAAAAGTGGGAAAAAAAGAACTATAGTGACTCATAGGAGGATACACACACAAATACACACAATATAAACACATCCATAATATACACAAAAGTTAGCACTTCATTTTTCTTAAAAACATGTTTAAACGGATAATAAAAAATATATATTATACAGATGCCTTTATCCTTTGGGGAAAATGGAGTGGATAAACTTAAAACAACGCTGGCTATTTTCTTGCACATACCAGCATCCTGAGAGATTTTTGTTAATAGAAGGCTTTGAATTCCTGCATTTTCTGAGAGTTTGGAGTAATGTAAGGCATTGTGTCCAAGAGAGTCCACAAGGATTAGGTCTGCACCCTTTTTAATTAAGGCTTCCACAATGTTTGAGCTGCCGATCTCACAAGCCAGCATGAGAGCAGTCCTAAAGAAAAACAAGACAGCAGGTGAGTACAAGCAAAATGTGAAAGCTTTCCTGTGAAATCATGTCAACTGTCCCCCAAACAGGGAAGAAAATCAAGTGCCAATCAACCTGTAAGGCCCTTAATCTTTTAAGGAAGAGTCCATTTAAAATTGAATGTGAGGGCCCTCCCTGGTAGCCCAAGGGGTTAAAGCACAGCATTATGAAGCTATCGTAGCCACTGAAGCATGAGCTCGATCTCCAGCCAGGGAGCTGACCCACGTGACATGATCACTCATTGCATCCCTCAACAGTGTACCTCAGTACATCTCCCTGTTCTGCTCCCCACTGTCTCTGGTGAATCCATTCACCTCCCACATCTCTGGACTGTACCCCAGTTCTGTATGCATAAATAAATCAATCTTTAAAAAAATAAAGTTTAATGTGAGCAAGAGGAAATTAGGCAGTTACTTTTTAACACTGTAGATGAAATGAAAACATTAAACCACATAGATCAAATAGAGCAGACATAATCTCTTAAACATAATCTACTAAGTATGATGGAATTTAATATGATGGGCAGATATCTTGCCTCAAGTCTTGTTATGAGTATAAAAAAACAGCCAATGTGTTTACTTTAACTTGGCATGAAAACTCAAAAGAAATGTCCTTCTCATTTCAGTATTTAACAATTTCTTCTCAGACCCAGTAAGCAATGATGCACCCAGAAGCCTCAGGAAAAAATTTTAGGCCAAAACAGATTCTTGAATATCAAAAAGGTAGGAAATGGTAAAAATAAAGAAGTTAAAGCCATTTAATAACAAATGATCTAAAATACAGTTATGCTAATTTAAAAAGCTCTTGCAATGTGGGTATCACTGAAATCACATGACTTCGTATGTTGAGGTACCTTCCATTCTTGTCCCTGGAATTTACATCTGCTCCATGATCCAGGAGGAAGCGACACACCTCACTGTGGCCATTCTGTACTGCAAGGAGCAGTGGTATATTCCCATCCTAGGAACAAATTCTGATTAAGATTTTAACTCTGATGTCAAAGGCCAGAAATGTCAAGGTCTGCCCTCTAAGTAGTCCTGAATCTTCCTGCTGGTCTTATGCCCTGAGCCACCATGACAGTTTGTCATAACTGGCTCACAATTATATCTTAGTACAGTCTTCTTATAAAATTTCACTGACTATTGGTTAACAGTCAGCCTTTTGAGCTGCTAATTCCCTGAGTTGTCATTCAGTCTAATAATGATAATGTGAGAGACAGTGGAACACTCAGTATGTAGTCAAAGCAGGTATGCCCTGCTTACTGAGGGATGGTTCTGGAGAAACGAAGGAGTGAGATTACTATTTGGCACCAATAGGTTCCACAACTCTCTTAGGTAATTTCTTCTGTGTGACCAACCTGTACCTAACATTACATGATAACCTTTAGAAAGTATATGCTTTCATGATCTCATCAAGTATCAAAAACATCACAATTTATGAACTTGCTTACTACTGACATAGAACTCGATAAAGAAATTGATGGAAAGAATGACCTGTTTATTATGTTGACCATTAGCAATTCTTTGGGAAAAGAGAAAATTAAATCCCCGTTTCATATAGAAAGTATTTAAGGTAAGTTAAGAATTTAAATGTTACAGTATAAAACAAATGCAAACTGCAAGAAGAATTTGTAGGGGATTAGTCTACAAAGTTTTAGGGCGAAGGGGGCCTAACAAATGGTAAAAACCATATAAAGCATTTTTTCTCTATTTCTATAAATATAGCCCACAGAGTTGCTAATAATTTTTTTCAGGTAGAAGTATTCAAATAGGCAATGGAAAAAGGTAAACTACAAAATATCCCATTATTCTAACATGAGGATTTTTACAGTTGTTACATAAGGGTATAAAGTCTCCTTTTAAAGCATAATTCTGGAAACATTTTTAAAAATTTTATTTCTATTAAAGTATAATGCTTTCTGCTTAAAATACTGAGATTCAGGAAGTATGGAATTTTTCGGTTGTATTAAGTCACTGTATAATATCCCCACCAGGTGTAAGTCTCCTTCTGCATGGAAAAGACACAGCAGTTCCCTTATAGCAGGCAATCTACTGTACAACCAGGAACCAAAGGACTATAAATTTACTCTCAAAATAGTCCAATGAGGTTAAAACATACTAGAAGTAGCCTCAAACTTGCCATTCCCTAGCCAGGAGTACCCAAAGTGACATTTGAGGTGTAGAAAGAAAATAACAGATCTGCTCTCTGGACTAATTTCTAAGAATCAAGAAAGTAAACCTCACTGTACTTTGAGGGCATACCACACCCCAACCCTTAGAAACAAATACACATATGCAGTACGTGCCTAATGAAGAATATTAAATCTACTGGCAGAAGGGGATCTAGGTAGGAAAGTAACAATTTTGCCAAGTACTTGGGTTTCTATCTTCTTAGTGATACTCAGAACTAGCCCAGAGTGCTCAAGAAGCCAGTGGCCACTTAGTACTTACCAAATCCTTGAGGTTTGTGGGGCTTTTGTGCTCACAAAGAACGTGTACAGCTTGGAGGCAGCCTTGTGCCGCTGAGGAAAAGGAAAGCAAACACCACAAACCATCATGAGGCCACACTCACAACTTGGGCAATAGAATCTCTGGAAGTAACAGCACCTACAGAAAGCTGTTTGGAGTTTCTTAAGCTGCTAAAAATGGAGCTTCTACATGACTCAGCAATCCCACTCCTAGGTATCTACCCAAAGGACACACACTAATCTAAAAGGACATCCCCATGTTCACCGCTGCTCTATTTACAACAGGGAAGACGTGGAATCAATCCACATGCCAAAAAGTAGATGACTGGATTAAAAAGGTGTGGTACATATGCACACTGGAATATTACTCGGCCATCAAAAAGCTATACCTATGGCTTTTGCAACAACATGGATGGAGATGAAGGGATCACGCTTAGTGAAACAAGCCAGAAAGAAAAAGAAAAATACCAGGTGGTTTCATTAATAGCAGGAGTGTAAGGGACAGAAAAAAAAAAGAAAAGGAGCAACTGTAATAAAGTGAAAATGAACAACTATAAACCAGAGACATTCTGCAGGGGTGGAGAAGGGAACAGGATCAAAACTGGGGCAGGAAGAGCCCATGGGACTATGGGGATGGCACACAGGTGAAGCGGTGGTGGGAAGTCCACAAGGATTACAACTGAGATGGAAAAATGCACAAAAGGAAGAATGATGCAATAAATAAATAAATATATTTAAGTTAAAAACAAACAAACAAAAAAGAAGTAGCAGTTCCTTGTTAGCCCAGTTCACAGTCAGTCTAGTTGCATGAGAGATGGTGCTGGGAAGCTTCAGAGATGTTTCAGCGACTGTTACATAGGTATTGTCCAGCTCTAAAGGCAGTGACTGCCAGTTGCCTTTAGGCAAACATTTGGTTTAGCTTTTCATTGGTTTAGCTTTTCCACAGTTAGCACTAAACTTGCAAATCTAATCATCCCCAAATTCTGTATCCCTTGAAGCTGTGTGATAATAAAACAAGTGATTGTTAAATGAAATGAATGTTCTTTTTGTGCCTCAAACCAAAAAATCTGTAGCACACATGATTTGAAAAGTACAAGCGTGTTTGACTCTATCTTCCTTTAAACAAGAACCTTAAGTTCATTTGAACATAAGCCAGTTTTTACTGGCTGTCAGGCAGGCAACTATAAACACCAGGTCTATTCCTTGGTACAACGTCACATGTTTTGCAAACCAAGAAAAGTGGGGATGTATAGTCATGAAGGCAATGAAGTAGCACCAGCAATTATATGGTAAGGTTACTGGTTTAAATAAGGAAAATGAAAACGCTAGTGCTTCTTATGGCAGAAAGAAGAGAAATAAGAGAATGAAAGTTACCTGCATAATGTAACGCTGTTTTCCCAGAGTTGTCAATACTTTCGGCTGGACATTTAGACTGTAAGACACAAATAAATCAGTGCATATGATAAAATTCACTCTTGTTCAGGTGACCCTTTTCCTGAAAGGTACAGCAAGACTCATTTGAAAGGATATTAGCATGAACACTTGAATTATTTGGAGACACTTACCCACGAATCACAACACAGGCAACCTGCCGGCCCCTGCTGCCTCAGCCCTGCTCTCCCTGGTACCATCACACTTTGCCACGGGACCATCCCACTCGCTACCAAATATGCTCTCAGATCTCCCATCTTGACCCCAGCTTCCTCCACCACTCCCTACCCTGATTCTCTAACTCCTTTCAAATCTCACTTCCTCTTAAGAACTGCTCACAGGCATCTATGTCCTTACTCCTCACTCATTCCTGAGCCTGCGCAGTCAGGGGTCTGCATGCTCAATACTGCATGCAGGAGGTTCTAGTCTAGGTCACCGGCAACCTTCACAGATCCAAGGACAACAAACATGTCTGTCCTCCACCTACCAGCTCCCTCACACCTCACACCTGCAGGGCACCTCACCTTCTCCAGCACTCTGCTCTCTTGGCTCCTTCAGCTCCAACTCGACCACCCCATCCTGGTCTCCCTTACCCCTGACCACTCCTCCCATGAGCCATACACACAGCTCGGAGTTCCTCAGCTCCTCGCTCAGCTCTCCTCCTCGGTTATCTCATCCACCTCTATAGCTTGAAATACCACCCACAGCTTGAAACTAAAGCCAGTGACCCCCAAATGCATTTTATCTTAATAATATCATGTAAGTCTCCTTCCGTGGTTAAGTATCAGGTGTATGTGCCAGGCACTGCTCAAAGAATTGTTTTAAGACTTCTAAGAACGCTAGTTAGATATTATTACCCCATTTTCAGATAAGGAAACTGGGGCACCAATAAGTTAATAACTTGCTTAAGTCACAATAAGCAGGGTCAGGATTCAAACCCACACTAGCTAGGCAGGAGCTTGTGTTCCTATCTGTACACAAAAGGCGTCATCTGAGCTCCAGGCTTGGCAGCCCACAGCCCCTGTGAGCAGACCAGTCACCGAGCCAGAAGCCACCAAGTCAACTTTGACTCCCCTCTCCCTCCCCCTTTAATCATCACATCCTGTCCATGGCCAGCAGCTGGGCAGGACCAGTGAAGGGCATCTCCATTACTCCCCTGGATCGAGTCCCTCCTCCACTATCACATTTATCCGACCAGCTCCTTTGCACGCAGGCAACGACGACCCCTTACCGGTGAGTCTCTGTTTTTCCTTCTTTCATTAATTCTCTCTAAAGTCTGACAGCTTTTCAGATGTGAATGTGTCTTCACTAAAAAGCCTTTTACAGCTCCACACTCAGACTCAGATGAACCACAGCTGCCTGCCAGAACCTCAGAGCACCTGCGCCTTTCTCCTCACTTGCTTCACCCACTCTGCTCACTGGCTCATTCTTCTCCAGTGCTTTTCCCAATGCCTTCCATGTTTTCTCTGCGGGCTGCCAGGACCGCTGCATTTGCACTGTGGAGGCCTCAGCTTAAGCAGCACCTGCCCATAAGTCCTTCTCTGACCATCCACCCTTCACTGGTCCTGCCCAGCTGCTTGCCTGTTCATGTCCCCCCTAGAGTCGTGCAACTTGCAACATGTGTTTGTGGACTTATTGACCACACTGCAGGCCCCTCCAGGAGAGGCACTGTGTGGCTGCTGCGTCTACTCAGAGCCTGACCTGTGCACGCACTGTGCCATGGCAGATGGTAAGAAAAAAGGTCCAGGAGCCAGAGAGAGGAAATGCAGAGGGTGCAGGGGTCAGTGGTAGCAGGAGCTACCAGCAGGAGCTGTCTCATGGCAGAGGGCCTGATGTGCCAAGACGAGAGGGGAAGAACTGACAGAGACACAGGACATGCAACTCAAGGGGAGGACATCAGAGTAGTGTCTTAACTACCCAGGAAAAGCACATTCAGACAAGCTGCAAGCGAGAGAGGCAAGAACAGACAACTTCAGAGTGAACTGTTCGTCTGCTCTTCAGTGGTAAGAAGAATGGAGCTCGAGTTACAACTTACCAGGCTTTGGCCTAATTTTAGAACAGCACAAGGAACTGTTTAAAGGCTTCAAAGATTCCAGAGAAAAACCAATCCATTTGCATAACCAGATATAAAATTACATTAGAGGCTAGAATAGCTGGTCTTTGCCCATGAGGATTTCCAGCTTGTCGGGTCCATTCTTCCTTAAAATCAGCGCCAGATGCACAGTCTGGATAGCCAAGCCAGGACGGGAATGGTGATTTAGGACACAAACATGTTTTAAAACATGAGGTAGGGCCACGGATGTGGAGGCAAGGTACCGGAATAGTGATTTTCATTATCCAGAAAGCCCAAGCCCAGAGGTGGAGATAAGAAAAGTTGTCTTTTAATTGTCTTTGGGGGAGCAGTCTCATTATAAAACATAATAATCACAGACGAAGATCTATTTTTCTTAAAATTCGCCTCAAAGACCTGTTAAGGGGAAACATTCCTGACAATGTGGTAGCTCGCTTCCTATGCTGTTAGACATAAGCAGGACAAGTTGAAGAATGTGAACGCGTCTTTGGTCTCTGCATTAGAAACGCAAAGTCAAATTAAAGCAAGATGCCTTGGGTCCCAAACCACATTCATGGCGGCTGAGACCACAGTTCAGCAGAACAGACACTGCTCCAAACACAGACTTTTACTGCTCCGTGAAGTTCCTGAGAACAGCCAGCTTGCTCTGGGACTGCAAGAAGCTGGAGGTCACTTACACAGTGCTACTGGGGGCTTATGAAATACTCATCTTTAAAGACTTAGGGACGCTGTCACCTTCAGTGATCATTATACATTTCCTGGCAAAGTTATCAAACCAGGGAATTGGCTGGAAATTATAAAGAAGAATAAAACCAAGGACTTAAACAAAAACCAAGAAGCAAAAGCTCATCAAATTACCCACCAGGAAGTCAGGGTTGAAATTTTGCTCCTTGAGATCTGTATTCTACCCATGGCTGAACGCGAGGTCATGAGGGCATCGGAGATACTGTATTTAAGAGGCCCCAACAGCGTGGAACTTTATTTTTAAACTGATCACTGAAGGGCACAAGTCTTTCAAAACAGGAGACGCTGAACAAATGGGTTTAAAAAAGGTTGGATCCCAGGGAGTGACTCTTAGACTTTGATTAGGTCTCTTTCCAACCAGTGGAACTGTGATAAAAATACTTTTCTTGGCTAAAACTGTCATAGAAAGCCAGATTCTGGGGTAGTTTTAAAAGACTGTGAGGGAGAGGAAGAGAGAAGGGAGGGAGGGAAGTAACAGTGGAGGAAAGGGGATGAGAGGAGAGGGGAAGTGAGGGGGAGGGGAGAACAGGGGAGAGAAGAGGGAGGAATAGAGAGGTTTGATCACAGATAAGGTTACTCTGAAATCTGAAAAATGACAGGAGTAACATTTTAAGTCACTGCCACTGTACCTGAAGGAGCTTCCTGACGCACTCATGGTGGCTGTTCTTGGCCGCAAGGTGCAAAGCACTGTGTCCTAAATGGATTTTTTAAAAAATGGGGGTGGGGGGGGGGGAAAAAAAGGCTGCATTTAATATCTCTCTCTTATCTCTGTAATGAATACAACTATGAGGAAATAAATTGGTCTCCAACAAAGACAGACTTATTACTCTTGAGAGTAGGTGCGCACCTTCTTATCTGTAATGTTCAGTGTAACAAAAGCAGGGAGAAGGCAGAACCTCCCGCCTGCTGGCTAACAGGTGGGGTCTGCTCCAACTGCATTCTGCTCTGCTCAGGCAGCTTGCCTGGGACTCACTAGCCCGAAAGTCCTGCTTTCGGCTGTCAGTGTCTATGCCCAGGGCTGCGCCCACCCAGCCAGAGGGAAACATGCCAACACCCAGTCTTCAGTCTCCACTGTGGACCTCCGTGTTTCCCTGCCCTTGAATGTTCTTCAGCTCCTGAGTGAAAACACCTGGCGCTCTCCAATATTTGGAACTCTCCTGCAGACGGAAAAGAGTTATGATGACCACACACGGTTCCAGCCTTTCTAGAACAGGACACAGCGTGAGACAGACACTTCCGTGGTCAGATCTAGCGAATCCTGCCGTTACCCGACTCCCATCGTGAATGGACCCACAGGTTTTCTATGCAAGAGGGGCTCAGAGGCAGCCTACGAGGCAACAGGGATGGCCACCAGCAGGGCAAGATGGCCACCAGCAGGGCAAGATACCCACCCAGGGTACTGACTGTTGCTCCTAGCTCTGCCTGTGGGTTTCCTGGGATATTCACACCCCTGGTTCTCACCTCCTACGGAAGCCATGAAATGCTACCTGCTGAGCGAGGCCTTTCCTAAACTCCCTATTTAAAATTCCAATTACCCCACCCTTTTTATCCTTATTCCCTGCTTCATTTGTTCTTCATGAAAGAGGCTTCCTCCTCACTGTGCACAGAAGTCCACATGTACACACACGTGCAAGCATGCACACACACTGTGGTTTATTGTTTTTGTTCACTCCACTAGAAAAGGAACTCAATGAGGGCCATATGCCCGTGCCTACCAGACTCCTAACATCATGGGCTGCCAGTCCTTGTTCACTTGAAAACGTGAACACAATATACCAGGCCAACACAATATCCCAGGAATTCTTAATCCTGCATTTTCCAATCTGACCTCGGTCCACCCAGCAGGCACCTTGCCAGCAGCCCAAACGTGGGACATACTCCAGCATGACTTCAGTCTCAGTGCCACTGACCATTTGAGTTGGGAGGGGCCTGTCCTCTGAGGACGTAAAGCAGCATCACTGACCTCTACCTATTAGATGGCAAGGGGGTAAACAGAAATGTCTCCGGATGTTGCCAAAAATCCCCAGGGAGTGGGGAGGGGCAAGATCAGGCTGGTTGGGAATCTCTGGCTTAGAGGAACAATTTTCTTTTACACGGAGGTTCAGTCTCCAAGGATCCTGTCTCTTCTCTAAACTAGCCCTCCCTCTGCTATGCTGACTAGAAGTCCACTCGTTTTCCTAGAATTCTATGCTAGGAGATCCATATTTAAAAATTTAAGAGTTTTGTTTTAGTGCCACAGTGGGCTGTACAAAACCATGTGTAAGGCCTCAAGACGAGACCCCTTGAATTCTGAGACCAGCTGTAGGGAGTTTAAGGGTCTGCTTGAAGGAGAGAGGCTTGGTGTGGCAGAGCACTGAGAAGCAGGAACCCCTCCCCTTCCCCAAACGGGTGACAATGGAGATTAGGAAACACGAGATCCTTGGAAATTGGAAGACAAACACTGTCTCTTCATTTCTCTGAATAAATCTTCCTTCCAAAATAAAGAACAAATAGTGGCATTGAATTCAGTTCATTATGCATCAAGTAGGTTTAGGTGGGTTCACCTGCTCCCAACTGTCCTTTATGCCAGTGTTTCTAAGGCCAAGCACATTGTAAGTTTTAAGCAGCTGCCTTATAGATGAACGTTGGAGTATGTTCTGATGGTAAGCAGGAGACTGGTTATGTCATGCATGCGATGTATTCCCCTGGTCTACGCATGCACAAAGCTGCTCATAAACAGCACCCACTGGAAAAAGGCACTCTCTCCAAAAACAAGATGGCAGAAAGATTTCGACAACTCATCATAAAATAAGTAACAGATTTTCAATTCACTCCAAGTATTCTAGACATACCTGGACGTTAAGTGCTATGTTTCTAAAGAAACAATCTTTATTCTTTTAAATCCTGGCTCTGTGATGTTTTCCTAACCAGGAACGCTGAATTATTTTTCACTTTAAAATGTCATAAAGTGCAAATGATGCATCAGTCCCTGGACAGCATTATATTGAAGGGAGATGTCTCTCACTGCTGCCAATAAAACAAAATTCTCTTTCCAAATGCAAATTTTATTGGCATGGATATATTATATTAGTGACAATGTCTGACTAGAAGGAGACAGCACGTAAGTCGCCTCCCCAAACAACCCGATCGGCTGTAGACCTGTCTGGAATAGCAGGAAGCAAGTTCCCTACAGGCAAATAACAGTGCAACACTAATTCAAGTGAACTCCAGCAGAATTTTGCCTGCAAGTAAAACCACCAGAGGTATGTAGACATCTATAGTCATGGGTATTATAGAGCTCTAAGAGACCCGTTACTGAGAGCTTCAGAGGGCAGGCCCAGCGTTCTCACCATGTGACACCTTCCCCAATGGACCTCAGACAATAATAATTCTTCAGTTCTTTGAATGTATGCTTGAAGTTACATGTGAAAATTATATCAACAGTCTTAGGATACAAAGACATGGCTAACACGTACCAAAAGGCCAATGCTTGAGAAATGACAGCTTGAGATTGTAACACAGAAATAATTAGATAAAAAAATTAAATGATGCTCAAAGAAGCTTAAACTTGCCTTAACAAATCAGTGTTTCAGGATGCCGAATATAATATTTTAATGTATTAATAAATGTGTCAACCTGGCTTTTACTTACATTTTAAAATATATTTGAATATATTTATTTTTTGAAATCCTCATCCTGACAGCAAATTTTTATTGCCAAAGTCCACTCACCTTGTTTTTATGCCCAGGAATGGGAAAATTCACTACAATAACCATTCCTACTATGAAAGTCATAAAATTATCCCTTAGTCTCCCCTTATTTTTAAAATACTATAGATTTACACAGCACTTAATACAAATGATGAGTGTGCATCATTTGAAATATTTCATTGGCTCAGGTTATGCAAATAAGTTATGCAAATGCCACCCCCTGCCAATGAATTAGTAGCAGGCAAGTCCCACAAATTATACAACTGTTTTGATTTCCCTTTAATCCACAATAAAATATAAATACACTTACAGACTTTAATTTGCAGTGACGTTATCAATACCCATTCTCGACAGTGCCTGATTTTTAGGATATTACACTTCATGTGGTATCAAATTGAGTGGGATTAGGGAGCATAATGGAATGAAGGCCACCCAGAAATCAAAACCAGAACTAAGCCAGCACCTGGAAGCCCTAGCGAAAATAAAGGTTTTAGGTTTTCTCTTTCTATGGACTCTGTATCTCACTCTCCTAAGAGAAATGTTTTATTACGTAAATCATCAAACCACAGTTGCAGAGAAAATGCAGGTTATGGAAGCCATGACAGAAACTGCACATCTTTTAGTCTGTTCCCACCTCTCTCTACAGCAAAACCTTCTATCATTTTAACTGGGTAAATTGCTGCCCAGAACTTCCCAGCCCCCATAAGTCCAGGTGTGGCTGCAAGTGACATCTGTCCAGGGAGCTCTGAGTGCGTCTTGCCCGTGGGCTGGGCTGACTCTTCCTGTTGCCGTGGAGCTCAGTGGGGCACCATCAAAGGCTTTCAGGACCTTGACACCCACATGGACGCTCACGAGGAGCAGATCAGCCATACCAGTCTGTGAAAAAAGCTCTATTCAGTTTAAGCCACTTTTATTTTGGCCCCTGATGCTGTAAATCAAACAGACGTACACACTAATAAAGGGAACCTGAAAGCTAATACTTTAGATAAGCATGATATACATCAGGGTCTTACCTTCTGGAATCTTTTGCTAATGCTTCTGTTTAATTCTATCTCAAAACTCTGGGGTGCTAAATGTGGAGATATTTCCCACCCCTCCAAAAAAACAAAAAGCAAAGGAGTCAATGTTCTATTTATCTGGGAGAAGAGTTTCTTTAAAAAAAAAAAAAAAAACAAATGCCAATTCTTCCATCACTGAAGAATAAGAGCAAACAAAGCTGCGAAGGGCACCAGACAGAAGATGCACGGCCAATTCAGGGGTGGTGCCGGCCGTGAGGAGCTGAACCCCCATCTGTGCTTCTGTCTGGCAAACTGGCCATGGCCATGAAGGAAGGAGGGAAACATGGCCAGAAAACTAAGTCACGCGCTGCTACAAGTATTTGGGATTCTCTTTCTGAGTTGCACAAAGAGACTGACCAACCTTTTCCTTAAGATGAGAGAGCTTTTCAAAAGCCCCATGTGTGCGAGCGTAGTGGTGACGCTCGCCAAGCAGCAATGATGACGGTAACGGCAGGGCAACGCCCACGCAGGTCGATGCCACATGGCCTCAAGGTCATCGCCAAGGAGCAACTGCTGCTGTTGCACTGTCAACCACACCCAACGCCTGATTTTCTGAGAGCACGTTGCCCTCATGATTCTTTGTAAAGCCGCTATAAAAGGTTTCTCAGGGGCAGAAAAAATAGTTAAAAAATAATATTTGAATCCTGTCACTCCCTGCACCTCTGGTCTACACCCCACGCCTTCTATGTACAAAAGTAAATAATTTTTAAAAATAGCTTGTTCTATGACTTAAACATAATCAACAAAGGTAGGAAATTGTACCAACTTGTACCATCTTGTAGACTGTAGGTAAAAATGAATGAAAAGGGTCCTTCTAATTCTGTTTTGTAAGGAGGATTAAAAAAAAAAACTTGTTGGGGTTTTTTAGGGGTTCGGGGGGGGAAAAAAGAGACGAACAAATGTAAGAGTAAAAATGAAAACAATGGACAGCTATAAACCAGAGAGACAATTTCTGAGGGTGGGAGGGGGATGGGATCCCAACTAGGGCGGGAAGAGTGCACTGGACTGTGATGACCGCACAGGGTGAACTGGTGGTGGGAAGCCCACGGGGATTACAACTGAGATAAAAAAATGCACAAGATGAAGAATGATATTAAAAAAAAAAGACAGAAAAACCAAAACAAACAAGACACAAAAACATTCATTCAAAAGAGCACTTGCTCTCTGTGTTTACTGAAGCACAATTCACAACAGACAACCCAGTTGGCCAAAAATAAATGACTGGATCAAGAAGATGTGGTGTATATATACACAATAGAATATTACTCAGCAATCAGAAAAGACAAACTCATGCCATTCACAGCAACATGGATGGAGCTGGAAGGGAACACGCTCAGTGAAATAAGCCAGAAAGAAAAGGAAAAATACCAGGTGGTCTCACTTACGGGAGGACTGTAGAGGGCCCTCGGCCCAAATAAGGGATGGAGGGGGGGGGAGTGAGCGAGGGGAGTAAAATGAATAAATAAATAAATGAACAAACAAACAAACAAACTCTGCTGGGCAGTGAGACTCTTTTTTTTTTTTTGGGTTCAGTCTCACTGGGTTCTGGGATTAAGGTGATAATATGGCAATGCTCAAGGTAGGTTCCCTGAAGAGATAATACCCATGAAGGTGGAGCCATTTAATTCATCCCCTGACCACCACAGAAAATATTTCAGGCTAGTGAGCATGACTGGGCACAGTGACTAACGCCCGTGTCCTTGCCTGGATTCTGACATGCTTTCTTGACAGTGCAAGATGGGGACGGAGCTGTGGCCTGCAGGAAGGGCACTGGCGTGGGCAGCAAACACATCCATTTATCTTGGTTGTCACAACAGGAAGAAGCTGGAGAAGTATTGTTCTAGATAACGCAGAGGACATTTCCATGCATTTTTCCCACGTAGCTTTTTCCTTCTTTTGTTCTCACATTGTCTGCACGCTCTCAAGAAAATGTGAGAGTCAGTGCCTCACTCAATGCAAAGTAAAACAACAAAACGAAGGGCCCAAGTGCTGACCTCACTGCTATAAATGGTAGGAGAGAACGGAAGTGACTGCAGCTCGGGGACATTCTCAACGCCTGGAATGTCTGGACGATTTTCCGGGGTGACAAAATGCCACAGATTCCACTAATTTCACTCAGTTTAAAAAAAAAAAAAAAAGGACAAAGTGAGATCTGACAGAGAGGCACCCAGAGGTCCTGGGATGGGTCTCAACCTATCACCTCTCATAGTGCTTCTTGAGGGGCAGTATTGGGGTGTCCAGGCTTCTCTGCCAGCGCTTCCCTGGACCCTCAAACACTGAGTTACAGCTCTGATAGTAAATACGAACTCTACCCACTGGGGTATATGGCCACCAATCTGTGCTTACAAGCTTCATGTGTGGGACAGTAGTGGCGGATTATTTAAAAAGAGAAGGGTGGGATGTGAAGCCTAATAGTAAATATGATCTCAACTATGTCAAAATGTGCCAGGGGAAATCTGGAAGGAAATACAAAAGAGTACAGGTTGTTTCTGTAGGAGCCGTGGTTATCTTTATTATAATTTTCTATATTTCCCAAGTTTTCAACAGTGAGCATGTGTGAGAAAAAATTATTTCTTATAAATACAACTTGTTTCCTATAATTAAAAAGAGGAAAGGAGAATTTGGGGATAACTGGACTCCTGTCTGTATCTTAACATCAAAGGCAGTGAACATGAATGTATTTCCACTCCACTTTATTCCCTCATAAATTAAGATTTCCCTCAAGATAGTCACTGAAGGAAACCATTAATTCTTTTGCTGGTATTGCCATTTCTGAAGATCCTTTTGGAGATTTTTGTAGCAATGATCAAGGGACATCACGGCTACTTCAATCACACCCTATTATTGATCAAAAATGTTTTTACCAGTCTGACACCTCACTTACTGATACGACTCAAGTGCCTCTTAGGGATCTGTTACGGATTAATGGGAAGCTAGGTAAAGATGATGGTGTTACACTGATTTCATATTCCAGTAAAACTAACAAAGTCCTATCAGAGGCAAAGATATTCTGAAGTACAATGACAAGTCCTTGTATTTGCTTCGGTTCTTTGGTGGGGCCTGCAGGAGCAGACTGCCAGGCTGGGGTCCCCAGGAACCCTTACCTGTAAAATAATGCTCAGGAAAAGATAAGACTACACTACCTGTTCTCTACCTTGGACATCATCTGTCAACACAGGCTTCACATTAGACTCACGTGGGAAACTTCACACTCATACCACTTGGCTGGAAACTCCAGCCAATGGACTCTGTCTTGGAGAACAGAGCCTGTGTTTATATGAGTGACTGGTAACGTGAACGTCTCTCTTCGTTTTTCCCTCCTTTCCTTCAGCACTTTTCCTTTCCTTCTTCTCTCTGCTTCCCCACTCTCTCTTCCAATTCCCAGTAATTTGAATGTGAAGAATAATGAGGAATAGAACCATGGGCCCCTGGTCTAGATGGGGATCATGATTTTTGTCTGCAAAGCTCATCTCAGCCAGCGGAGCAAATGAGTTTCCAGTGGGAAGAGCACAGGAGACCATGGTGATGGTGCATAGGTGAGTCGGTGGTGGGAATTTCATGGGGAAACCACATACTGTTCAAAAGTTAAGGTTGCTATAGTGGAAATATTTAATTTTTTTTTAAAAGAAAGAAAATGAGCTCCTAATTCATTCCACTTACCATGATTCATAAAAGCAAAAATTAGGGAATACAGCTTAGTGTCTATATTGAATCTCAGGAAACTGTCCCTCTATCATTGGACATGACACATACTACATATATAATAAACTACAGTTACATCTTGTATATTGTCACACTACAGAAAAATGGGGAATAAGAAGCATAGTCTTAGTCTCTAGCTGACTAAGCACACCAAAGATGGAAACACACCTGTAAAGGCTCAAATGCAGAAGCCAAGTCAGTCTAGTTACTGGCGTTAATTTCATTTCTTCTTTGGGCTTATTTGTAGGTCGTAGATTTTCCAGGGACCATATGTCCCTGTTGTGATACCCAATTTTGTACTGGTTTGCTGACCTAAGGGAGGAAGACCACATACCGGCCGTGTCCTGGGCTGTCACATCCACACCGTGTGTCACCATGACTCTAAGGCACTCCACGTGTCCTTTTGTCGCAGCGAGATGGAACCTGGAAAAGAGGCAGCACAAGCTCTTTGAGATGTCTACTCAGTGGAGTTTATTCCACAACACTGTTTGCCTCTCCAAGTGTCTCTCACAGAAGCTCCACAACCACCCACCATTTTAAAGATGAGAAATCTGAGGCTCTCAGTGGTCTGATAATTTGCTCACTGACCCCTTTTTATTGCATTTTGAAGCAGGAGCTTGGCCTTAGGTCTTCCTATCCAAGCCTGAGTAGAAAAAACGGAAGATGCAACAAACGATTTGTCTGTTTAAGAAACATGAGTCAGGGCCCTCCCTGGTGGCGCAGCGGGTTAAAGCACTGCACTAAGAAGCTAAAGCCACTTCAGCATGAGTTCGATTTCCGCTTGCCCCAGAGGTGACCACATGGCGCGGCAGACCTCTCCTGACCCGCCCGCTGCTCCCCTCAGCAGTGTGCTTCGTCGATCTGCCTGTTCTGCTCCCCGCTCTGTCTCTGGTGAAGCCTCTCACCCTCCGCATCTCTGGCCTGTACCCCAGTCCTGTATGAATAAGTAAATCTTTAAAAAAAAAAAAAAAAAAAAGAAAAGAAAAAGAAACAAGAGTCAAAGTGTCCCATCCGGGTTATTCCTAAATCATTAAGTATTTATCAACTTTTTCCTGTTGTCTAATGTTTTCATCAACACCCTTATTTCTCAGTAGTATATTCTATAAAGAGAAACTAGCTAAGTCAAATAATAGCAAAGGTTCTTAGTCAACTTCAATGACAAATCAATCAGATTGTAGCTAGACAACAAGTTGTGCGTGACTTTTATTAAGTGGCTAATGTGGGTCCAGCACCTTCTGACCCACTTTTACCCATTATCTCTTTCCATTCTTATAACAGCCTTTGAGACGAGTTCTTTCACTATCTCCATTCGATGGCAGGTGTCTACACTCTAAACAGCATCACAGAAAGCCAACAATTAGGGTCTAGAAGTCACTGACATGTGGGAGTAGAAGCCAGGCTCAGTGTGTTTAGATGTGCTTTTAAAAGAAGGGAATAACTATCCAGCCACACCAACCATCTCTGCAGGGCCCGGGGGAGGGGGCAGCGAGGGGGGAGTACAATTCCACTGGGCACCAACTGAAAAGGCCAAAAATCAGTGGAGACTTCTGTCTCACTGCTACAAAGACAGGGTGATGTGCTGCCAGGCCTTCTCCTGTCTCAGATCTGTTCTAGGGACTTGCATTCTCAGCTTCCTTTCCACGTAGCATCTTAGTGTCTATACTTTAAATTTAATGCCCAGGCAGTATTTTTTTTTCCCCACAGGGCAGGACCTGTCACTGGAACTCAGGGTCACACCCAACTGGCAAGTCCAAGGGCTAACCCAAATCAACCCATCTTTGATGGCTGCAGCACATTTTAGTAGGGGATGCAGTTAACCAAGCTTTCATCGCATGTTTTAATAAATGGTATGAGACTGTTTTGCTCTGCCTCTCTCATTAGATTGTTTAGATCAGGAAGTAAATTTTTTCTCTATTTGGAAACACTGCATTTTTTCCCCCTGCAGACTATTGTGTCTTGTGGGGAAATGACTTTTTCCAAATTCATAACTGTTGCATCCTATAGTTTACCTAAAACTTCAGCACTCAATGCTCTTATATATAAACCAAATAAAGTGCAAACAAAGGTAATTAGAAGCAGCTGGCTATGTAAGATGTCTGTGGCCTTAACTGTAATCTGCACATACCTAATATGGTTTTAATTAGTAAAATCATTTTTCGTTGATGTGATTCAATACGTCTCAAGGTGTTTCTCAAAGAAGGCTAACTCCCAGGTGTCTGCAGTGTTCTGACCTATAAAACTGCTGCTCGGCTTTCTACCACACATGGAGATGGAGATGAGCATGAAGAGCAAGAAGGGAGGAGCTGTACTGCAGGCAGGAGTGTTTCACTCTTTCTGCAGTGAGCACGCACTATGTGTTACCATGCCTTCACACTGAATATGCATTTCTGGGAAAGAGAGCAAAGCCAGGAAACATGACAAATGTGGTGTGCTCTGGGGGGATATTCACTCGTCTGTGTCCACCTGCTCGTCCAGATGGGTCCTCCACCTTTTCCCCCTGGGTCTGTGGCCCCAGAGGCGAGCATCTAATGGACTGTATCAAATGGCTGCCTCATCTGTCGCTGCTGGCTGGGTTTGACCAACATAGACACTTACAGGAGATAAGAGGATGAGGAGAAGGAGAAGGAATTCAGGGCATCCCCCGACCTCCTCCCACTGCCCAGGCCTTCAGACACCCCATACATTGGCCGGCTACCTTCCTCTAGGCAGCTCACACCTCTGTGGCCAGTTCTCCAAAAGCATAGCAGTGTTTCTCTCTGTGTTTTGGTAACACACTGCTCCTTCTCCCAGCCCTTCAGGATCTGGGTGCAAGTATGATGTTGGGGAGGTTACACCTACATCTTTAAGGGGTTCAGAAAAGTGGCTGTAAATCTGTACTTTGCCACTTAAAAGTGTATGATCTTGGGTAGAGTTCTTGGAATCTCAGACCCACATCTGTAAAATGGGCTTTGAGGAATAAAGAGTGTGTGTGTGTGTATATATATATAAGAAATGTAAAGTATGTAGTAAATACTTTGTACTACCTATTATTTTAGCTTTACCAAACCAAACAAGGCACAGGGGTATGGGATATGTTTAATGAAAGAATTTAATCAGAAAAGATAGGCCAACAAAAGTTCAATCAGAACTACCACTTCTTAGGGGAAAAAAGAGGGATGAAGGAAGAAAGGAAAGAAGACAGAAAGAGAGGAGGGAGAGAGGGAGGGGGGAGAGAGAGAGAGAGAGGGTGGAGAGGGAGGAAGGAAAAAGTTGTGTGCATTGCCAGTGAATGGAAAGTCAGGATCAAAGTTGTAGACAATCGCAGCTAACATAAAAAGCATCCAAGTCCAGCCTTGTCTAAAGCTCACACTTGAGCTGCGAACATTCTGGCACCTTTCAGGGAAGTGATAATCCCCAAAGCGGGTTTGGTAGCAGCAACTCATTAGCATTTAGCCTCTGCATTTGACCAAGAAGCAGAGCTAGCTTTTAATAGGATACTCCAAGTGGAAAGTTGGGTTTGGTGTGTGGAGGGCATGATCAGTCGGGGCAGAACCTGGATTTGGCCATGGCAGTGAATAGGTTTCCTTTCTTATGCAAACACTAATACATGAGGCGTCCTCAGTGGGTGGCAGTCCAGGTGACTTGATGAGTTGGGGGCAGATCGGAAAGGCAGACATGCACCTGTGGGGATCAGAAGGTGCCCTCACACAGGACCTCAGAGCATGTTTGGTGGCCCCACTAAGTGACCTGCATGGCTGGTCAAAACACACTCTTAGAGGCCGCCCTCCCTGGTAGTGCAGCAGGTTAGAACTCAGCACTGCAAGCTAGCCATGGCCCGCTTCAATGCAAGGTCAATCCCTGGCCCCGGAGGTGACCCACATAACGCAGCAGACGTCTCCTGTCTCACCCACTGCTCCCCTCAGCAGTGTACTTCATTGATCTGCCTGTTCTGTTCCCCACTCTGTCTCTGGTGAATCCTCTCACCCCCCCCATCCCACACCTCTGCCCTGTACCCCAGTTCTGTATGCATAAATAAATAAATCTTAAACACTACACACACACTTTAGATTGAGTCTGCAGAGATCAGAGAGCACATGAAGGTGGGGAGGCAAAGCAGGTTAACAACCCTCCCCACCCCAAACAAAGACAAGTAGACTTGATAATGTTAATTCCAGGACACTGGACTACCCCAAGCATGGGATAACTTTGACACTTCTAGATTGGATATTTTAGTAAATACTGCTGGAGTAAAAATATATTTAGACATACTTATCTTTACCATACTATTAGGGTATATTATATGCCAGCCACTATTCTAAGCACTGAGAAACCCATGCAAGTAAAATAAAATCCCCACCCAAGTGGATCTTTGCTATTAGTAGGGAGACTAAAGGTAAATCAGTGGTTTTCAACTGGGAATGACTTTTGTGTCTGGCCCCAGGATATTGGACAATGTCTGGAGAGATTTTTGATTACTCATGGGGAGGAAAGGGGGGTGGGGTGGGGGGGGTGTACAGGTGAATTTTACAGACATCTGATGTATAAAGACCAGAGACACTGGCAGATGTCCCACACAGGATGGCTCTGTACAAATGACCTAAATGCCAACAATGAGGTTGAGAAATAATGCGATAAACCATTGAACACAAATGTGTAATGCTGACATACAATTCTATTTTAAAAAGCTAAACGAAGACTGAAGAAACGACTTAAGATTATAATCTTTTTATTGAGATACAATTCAAATACCACAAAACTCACCAGTTAAAAATATACAACTCAGTCGTATTTTGTAGATTCACAAAGTTGTGCGGCCAACATCACCGTCAAATTCCAGATCACTTCATCACCCTAAAAAAAATCCCTGAACCCTTGGCCACCCCTGGTGGCGCAGCGGGTTAAAGCACAGCACTGAGAAGCTAAAGCCACTTCCGCATGTGTTCGAT